TATACAATGATATTATGATATTATATCATTGAGTTCAAGTTTAATGCAATCTATTATACATTGACCCACTTGTAACCTACTGTACAGCAGCAGAGTGACATCCACTTACCCGCTTCTTTTTAAATTTGTTTTGTACATATTATTATTTAATAATTAAAAACTCGACAATTTTATATCGTCTTATAAATATGGTATATTTTATTTAATAAAGAGTAAATGGGTGGTGTGGGGGGCTTCGTCCCCCGTGGCTCTGTGTTCTGAAAATTATCTGGACCCTCCCCATGACAAATTCCTAAATACGCCACTGCCGGTGATTACCCGACTAAAACCCAAACGCCTCCGATTGTGTCGACTCACTTATATAAGTCTGGTCGGCACAAATCGACGCTTTACTCAGCCCCAATATTGTTAATATAAATATATATTTAATATAGAAATAGAAACACCTGATAACCGAAAACAAATAAGTTTACTATTTATTTACGACACGGGCCGTCCATCCGAACGAACAGTTTCAGTGTATTATCATTGATTATATAATACACAGATAAGCAATGCCATAGGAATATTCGTTGACTAGAATTATAGTTGAATTTATTTTCACGAGATGTCGCTGTTGCATTTGTGACCACTATTAATTAATATATTGAATGATATCAATGGTATAACCTGGTATAACCATTGATGACAATTTAATATTATATTATTATATAATACAACAGACCACGGGCCACGAGTTTACTGACTGTCTTCAAAATATAATTTATAAACTAAATAGGAAATACTCATATTCTGTAGACTGTTGTAACTTGAACATTAAAGAACATAAATCAATACATCAATAGTGAGTTATTGAATGGAATTTTCTTGTATAAGGTGAGTGAATCACTATTCACTATATATAGGTACCTATATTTTGTATATTTGAATCAAATTAATTATTTCATTTAAATTATAATAAAAATTTTTTTAACATATAAAATACAATTTGTCCTAAAATTGTCAACAATTTATATAAATGTAAATACAATTTAGTAGGTTAACAAATAATATCTACACTAATGCTGGGTTGCATGAACAATTACTAAACATATTTTAATGAATCAATAGTGAGCTAATAGAATAGGTAGCTTAAAAAATTAATAATCAAATAATAATAAATTGGTCCATTAAATTTTATTGAATCATTAAATATTAATAAATTGTTCATGTGATAACTCCATAAATGTCATAATATTGTAATGTATAAAATAATAGTAATAACAGGTAATATAAATAAAATTGAGAGGTAAGTAAGAAAAATTCACTAAACGTTATAATACTGTTATGTTAATAATAATAATGTTTCAATTAAAATATAAAATTCAATAGTTTATAGGTATAATCATTGATTATATAATACACATAATTAATATATCAATTTGTCAAAATTAATAAAAATTCTTTTTGTTACACCCTGTATATACGTCTGTCTATACTTCTATCTTAACTCTTAAGTCGTAGATTAAATTTACTATGTAGCTTATAAAGCCGCGTCCACACTAGAGCACGCACAGACCGAGCATGTGTGCTCACGACGCACAACGAACGCGAGCCGACTAGATCGGCTCGCGTTCGCCGTGCGTCAAAATCGCTCTTGCGTGCTCTAGTACACATGCTCGGTCTGTGCGTGCTCTAGTGTGGACGCGGCTTTATATGATGGCTATAGTGCATATCTACAAATTCGCTAGATTTAACCGGTGTGAAAAATAAGGCACCGGGATGATCGTTTTCATGGTTCATTGCCCCGGTGCGGGATAATGTAGGATAATTTTAAACCGGTCTAGTTTAGCGATTTGTGGTATCGTTGATACAAATGCAGTCTGTTATCTTGCTATTATATAATATAATATCTGTATTAGAATGGACTTAAATTATCCATTCTATCGGTTAGTACGTGGTTTACGTATATGTTTGTTCTTAATATATTTTAAGCAACGAATAACGACTACCAGCCAGTCAGCCATCAGTGTTAACCGACAGCGCTCCTAACGACTGCCAGCGGTTATCGAATGCCGACAGCGCTTCTAACGGCTGCCAGCGGTTGCCGACAGCGCTCCGTAGTGGCTGCCAGAAATTAATTGTCAACGAATATTCCTATGGCATTGCTTATCTGTGTATTATATAATCAATGGTATTATCTATAATAAATATGTGATAAGTACCTACAATACCTATTTTTTATATTATTAAATGAATCTATTAAAAATTATTAAGTGAACCCCCCATAGAAAAATCCTGAGCACGCCTCTGGACTATAGGTATATAATATTATATTATAATCAGTAAAATGTACATAAATGTAAAAACATGATACATATAATATGACAATAACAATAATAATCATTAAATAAAGGTATACACATGGTATATAACATGATAATAAGTATCTATTAAGTAATAACAATATAACCACAGAACAATATAAAAAGAGACAACAACTATATCTTTTTTTATAAAAGTCGTATATTATTGGAAACACATATATTCGATCGAGGGCAATTTGGTTTTAAAAAAATGTTCTATACTAATCTATAGTAATTATTCATAAGTTACACCATTTAGAATATAATATTAAAAAACCAATAAATTCCCTATGCTGTACAATATGTAAAAACGACATCATTACGGTCCGACGCGCATTCTGGCGGAATGCGATAATTCCGGACCACTTTAATATACACAGTTCGGCGTCCTTCCTCTAATGTTCATGGCTCGTTCTAAGAAGTGGCAAGAATACGTCTTATCAATAAACTGTTGATACGCAACGTATACCAATCATATCTCTTAAAGATTTATTTTTATTGGGTACCTTCTCCTTATAATTAATAGCTTATCATTTATATAGGTAGGTAGTAGGTACGCATTAAATAAAAAAATATAAAGTTGTTCATTAGTCGGCGATTAGGTAGCCATAATAAAGTTATGTTGGTTTTTGTTCTTATCTGACTCCTGTTTGATATACAATAAAACTATGTATTTTAGTGTTTAATTTTAATAAATGTGTATAAGTACTCTTTAAATATACATAATATAGACTACAGACATATGTTTAACTTTCACCAAACTTTCTAAATATTTACTTAAATGTTATTGAAGAAAGTGTCTAGTAAAATATTTAATAGCAACAAAACATTGGCTATAATTTATTTTTAATCTTTAAATAATAATAATTATAATAAAAGAGTGTTTAATTTTAATACATAATATAAAACATTCGTATTAATAATATTTTACTATATTATACCATTTATACCTAATTATAATGATTGTTTTATTTGTAACAGTAATTATTACTGTAACGGTGGTTTCTCCAGCTGACACGGCAAACATATTAGCTGTGTTCCCTCATCAAGGATTCAGTCATCATTTGGTGTACTTGCCATATGTCCAAGGACTCGCCAACCGAGGACACAACATAACTTTTATCAGTAACTATCCGATAGAACATGCAAACATAAATAATTTATCAATTAGAGGATCTATTCCTATAACCAATAACAAAGAAAATATCAGCGATGTCGGAGTTTCAATGAACGAAATAAAACGTTCTATGTTAATTACTTGGGGTTTTTATAAACGCGGAAAAATGTATGAAGCCATATTTACGGTAGACAGTGTGAAGACATTATTAAACAGTCCTTCTAAATTTGATTTACTCATTACAGAACATTTTAATAACGAATTATTTTTGGGTTTTGCATTAAAGTTCAACATACCTTTTATACTTCTGAGTAGCTGCAACTTATTGCCCTGGAATAAGCATGTGATCGGACAGCCATATTCGTTAGCCAATATACCTGCAACATTGACCGGCCTGGACACAACAATGAACTTTAATGACAGAGCTATAAATATAATTTCTCATGCAATACACCTCTTTGGTTTTAAACTATTGTGTCGGACTAGAGACGAAGCAATCATTAAACGAAATCTTGACGTTGAAATTTCATTGGACCAACTAATTTTGAAAGCCAGTTTGATTATGGTTAACACTCATTTCACAATGTTTAAATCCAAACCATTAGTACCAGCCGTTGTGGAAATCGGTGGGATACATATAATGCCAATCAAACCTTTGCCTATAGTAAGTATCTCATTTTTGTTATCATAATAATAGTTTTGATTTCAATAATAGAATATCTACAATTAGTCCTGTAATTTTTAATTACAAATAAGGTATCTACTTACAAAATAAAAATCGTAATTTATATGTTACGGGTAATGTTAACATTTGGATAATGTTGACATTAGCCAGTCAACATTGGATAATGTTAAAAGTTAAAACTGAATTCTATTTCTTTATACCAAGTGGGGCCGAGTGTAATCTACACGTGTAATAATTTTATATTTTATCGATTACACATGTAGATCCGTCTATCTGTAGATTATTTGAATTAAGAGTTTAAAGCTAAACGTAGGTATACCTGCTATAATATAGTGCAGCAGTACTTTATCTTACCGATAAAGTGTACAATATATATGGGCTTAATATTTATCTTAATTGCACAACATTTTTGTTATAATTGTATATGTTGTACAAAACACGACCTGTTGTTAGTCTGTTTTCAGTTTTCACACGTGATATTTACAGTAATTTGAAAACTGAATTCTATTTCTTTATACCAAGTGGGGCCGAGTGTAATCTACACGTGTAATAATTTTATATTTTATCGATTACACATGTAGATCCGTCTATCTGTAGATTATTTGAATTAAGAGTTTAAAGCTAAACGTAGGTATACCTGCTATAATATAGTGCAGCAGTACTTTATCTTACCGATAAAGTTTACAATATATATGGGCTTAATATTTATCTTAATTGCACAACATTTTTATTATAATTGTATATGTTGTACAAAACACGACCTGTTGTTAGTCTGTTTTCAGTTTTCACACGTGATATTTACAGTAATTTTCAGTACCTACAGTGTTAAATGTCTTAATTGAATTCAAATAAAATGGAAACAAAACGGAATTTTATAATTTATTCGGAAAACTGTTCGTCTCAAAAAAGAGAAGATAATTCATCTTATACTTATACCTATGTCAAATGAAAAATATTTAAATATAATAAATGAATTGAAAGGCGGCAATAAATCTCATCGTTTGAACAAATTTGAAATTATTAATATCGGTGGAGAAGAGAAACTTATAGCACCCGTCGAAAAAGATAGTACTAATTTACTATACTACGTAAACAATGATGAATTATATGACATACTAAATGAAATACATCTCAATATTGGTCATGATGGTAAGCATCGAATGATGGCAGAAATAAATAAAAATACAAAAATTTAACTCAAGAAGTTGTACTTATGTTTTAAAAATTTTGGGGACCTTGTCAATCAAAACCAGGGCTGAAACCGTTTTTAAAACCAATTTCAGAAACCGGTATAAACAGTTTTAAACAGGGCTTGAAACCGATTGAAATAAATTCGGTTTCGGTTTTGAATACCGGTTTCTAAATTTTCAGTTTTTGGTTTCAACTTAGCAATACCGGCATTAAGAAGTTTCGGTTTTGTATACCGGTTTCTAAATTTTTTGGTTTCGGTTTTAATTTTTCAATACCGGTATCCAATTTTTCCGGTTTCGGTTTTGACTTTAATATCGGTAACTAATTTTTTTTGGTTTCGTTTTTGATTACGTTTTTGGTTCGGTTTTAAAACTGTTTATACCGGTTTATGAAATCGGTTTTAAAAGCAGTTACAAGCCCTGGTTTGAAAACAAAAACAAAAAACCGTAATCAAAAACTAAACCGAAAAAAATAGATACCAGTATTAAAGTCAAAACCGAATCCGGAATAAATTGGATACCGGTATTAAAGTCAAAACCGAAACCGGAAAAAATTGGATATTGGTATTAAATTTTAAAACCAAAATCCAAAAAAAAATGGAAACCATTATTTTTTTTTTTTTTTAATTGACTTGTTTTTAAATACGTAAATACCATTAGTACGCATAATTAATAATCATAATAAAATTGAGATCATGATTAAAATGTTGATAACCATTTCATTATTCGCAAAATTATTAGTTGCTTTAAGTAATGATATAAATTATAGTTACTAGCAAATAATATACATGACAATACGGCCGGACAAACAATGATAATTGTATAGACACAGCCGCTTGAAAATACTCGAATGCGCTATATTTGTATCTTTCAATCCTAGACCGTTCGTTACTTGCCCAGGGGAATTCTCCATGTGTTGCGATTTTTGGTACTAGTCCGCGTCACGAAAACTAACGTCGTACCCCGAACCTCACCCACCGCGTAGACAGTGGTTCTCATTCTATTGTTTTGATCCGGCGGGCGGCGGCGGCGGTAAATTATATTGTTGTTTGATAACCACTAAAGCAAATAGTCCGATTGGATCGCGGCGGTCACCCGCCACTTTTCGTGACGCGGACTTATAGTTGTCCCGTATTGTCTTATAACTCAATAATATTATAGTCAGTGGCGTAAACTAGGTGGTGCAAATGCAGCACTTGCACCACCACATCTAAAATGTGGTGGTGCAAAGGTATGTTTTTGCACCACCAGAAAATCATTGAAATATATAATATATAAAGAGGTACAAAATAATTATTTTAGTGCATGTATTAGACATTATCATTTAAATTATTACCCTATCTGGCCTATCTATATTCTAAAATATCGTACAACCCCCATAAATAGTTAGATTATTATCTATGGTAACCACTATCCACAGAATTTTGTATTTTATTATGGCAGTATCACAGAATCACGATTAAAGATATTATATCTTTAATCGTGCACAGAATAGACGTATAATTGTTCTGTGGTATAATATGGTAAAATTATATTGCTATCAACATTCTACCGCCAAAATAGTGTGTTATCACTGGATCAATGTCCATTCAATTCTCAAAAGTCAAATGTCAGATGATAGCTAGACGTCGTATTGAATCAAATTTTAAAATTCTCTTCAGGTTTCATAAGCGCCAGGAAAAACAACATAAAAATTAAGGAAAAACAGGAATTTTTACCCGAAATCGGTTTTCGACAAAATCGATTTTGGTTTTTGACCAAACAAATTAACATTTACATATATAATTGAAATATTCACTGGTTGGGTAAAAAAGCTTGGAAATTTAATAAAAGGCTCCAACTATATTGTTACAATGACATTAGAAAATTATTAAAAATCCTTAGTCACAGTTTTTTTTATAAGCATTTAAAGTTCAAATCTTGACAAAATACAGAAAAATCACGAAAATTAACAATATAATTTGAGTTGAAAAAATCATAAAAATGTTTCTTTTCAAATCTAAGATTTTAAAATGTAATACAAGATTATTCATAAGTTTGTATACGCCTTTATCAAAAAAAAAAAATGTCCACAAGTAAATCAAATTAAATTTTTATGAGCATTTGAAAATCATATTTTTACAAGATTGGATATTCACTAGATGTCTTATGTAGCGATTTTGTTAATTTGTTGTTATTCAAACAAATAACTGTAAATACATGAAAATTTATATATTTATATTTTAATTTTCTATACACCACAAAGTTTTGAAAATATTTTAACTCTCTTTGAGCTGTTTCTGGACATTGTCATTTTTTAATTTTTTTAGTTTTTTTTTCTATAAATATCATTAAAATTTTATTTGTTGGGTAAAAAGCGTGAAAATTTAATGGAAGGCTCCTGATATATTGTTACAATAGCGTTGAAAAATATTAAAAATACATAGCCACAATTTTTTTTTATAAGGATTTGAAGTTCAAATGTTGACAAAATGTATGGATAAATATATAGTTTTTTTTTGTTAGGAAGGATTTTACTTAGAAAGTTGGATTATTTTTGTGTTGGAAATTATAGGTTAATAATATGCCTCTGCACCACCAGAAATTGGACCTAATTTACGCCACTGATTATAGTGTTTGTTATTATATCGATGGTTAAGAAGCCAAAAGTTGTATGTCCCAAACACTAAATTTTTCGGGAGAGCAGTTTTAAGATTTTAAATTATTCTACACCAAATAATTTGCGTTGTAGATTTTTGTTTTTCGTTGTTGCAACTGATTTATTTGTAAAATATTCTGTAGATTACATAAATTATTACTTTTAGGTTTTAAAATTTTTTCAAACGTAATTATAATGTTTCTTTTAAATTTAAATGGGACTTGTTATGAATGGCAATTATAATATATTTTTACCGTGGACATATAAGGTTTTGATGGACATATTAAAAGTTGTTAATTTAATATAAACTCTAATTAATTTATTACATAAATAGTTAAAATGTACCTAAGACTTATTTTTGTAATATAAAAAATTCAATTTGTTTATAAAATTGCAGTAAAAAAATTAAAAAATATAAAATATATTGGAATTTTTTATTGAATGTGAAAAATAATAAAGTAGCATTTTTCCTCAAATTTTTAGTCAAATAAAACCAGGGTTTAATGATATTTTATGCTAAGTGAAGATATCATATTATTTAGTGTAATTTAAAATTAAAAATGTTTATTATTTAAAATAATACGTCCGGACATATTATTTTTTTATAAATAGATAAACAAATTCAATATTATCTAAAACATTACACGTCCAAAATTCAATAACTTGTTTTTGACAAAAGTAACAAGTCCGGACTTGTTATATTTGTCGGCTTAATATTTAGATAATGTTAAAATATTTATCGTAAGTCTCATTAAATTAGGACTTGTTATATGTGTGCACTAAAAAAACATATCTTGCACTAAAAACACAAAAATTAAAGTATAAATAAAACATGTTTTAATCATGATATTGACTTATAATGTTTTACCGAATCAAAAAGACGACCCAGATAAACCCTATGAACTAATAAAACAATTTTGAGAAAAATTGGACATACAACTTTTGGCCTCTTAGCCATCGATATTATAGTTATTACAAAATCACTAGGTACTATTAAAACATTTCTCTTATTTTTTATCAAACATTAAAAAATCTTATCAATTAATTATGTATAATAAAACCTTTAATTATAGTTTCAAGTCTTTGCTTGGAAATCCGTTTTTAAAAATGTAGAACTGGTATACAAAATCGAACCTAAATTTTTAATACCGGTATTGAAAAATTAAAACCGAAACCAAAAAAATTAGAAACTGGTATACAAAACCGAAACCGAAATTTCTTAATACCGGTATGGCTAAGTTGAAACCAAAAAGTTAAAATTTAGAAACTGGTATTCAAAACCGAAACCGAAACCGAAAAATTTAGAAACCGCAATTCAAAATCGAAACCGAAACGGAATTTATTTCAATCGGTTTCAAGCCCTGAACAAAACTGTCATCTAAACGAAAATGTCTTGTTGCTAAACCGATTACTCATTCAGAAATGAACAGTCGTTGTCAGGTTGACCTGATCGACATGCAATCGCAACCAGATGGAGAATTTTGGTTTATTATGGTTTACCAAGATCATTTAACAAAATTAAAGTCAAAAACGGCCGAAATGGCGACCAATATTTTGGATATATTTCGTATTTTTGGAGCACCGGTTATTTTACAATCCGACAATGGGCGAGAATTTGTCAATAAAATTATAAATGACTTGAAAACTATCTGTCCGAAGTTAAAAATAGTACATGGTAAACCACGCCATAGCCAAAGTCAGGGTAGTGTGGAAAGAGCTAATCAAGACATACAAAATATGTTGATAACCTGGATGCAAACTAATAATATAAAATCATGGAAAGAAGGGTTGAGATTTGTGCAGCTAATGAATAATATAAAGCACTTCATTCTGGTATCCAAAGGTAATTTAAAATTAATATTTAAAAAGATGATCTAGAAATATTTTTAAACAATATCAATGAAGAAGACGAAAACGAAGGCGTGGATGAAAAAAATAATGTTCAAGTGGTGAATCAAAATTGTTGTTCGAAAGCATCGAAGGATGAAGGATTATGTGACTTAATATGCTCAAGACAGGTAAGATATTGTTATTTTAAATTACCTATGTTGTTCCCAATAACTAATAATACATTTTTTACAGAAATCAATCGAAAATAATAGAAAAAAATCTGAAATTTGTTTACTGAACCAAGCTGAAAAAATTGAATTTAGGTCTATCCATAAGTTCCCCCAGCCAACATTGGAGACAGTGTGAGAGTCTCTTAACCGGATGTCGACAGAGGACGAGCAGACCGGAGAAATATTATATTTGCAGTTGTGTCTATTGAGGATGGGCAATATTATAAAATTGGGAATAAATATAATACTTTGAAACAATTAAACACCAGAAATCAGTTTGGTGTATGCCCGTTGTCTTTAATACCGCTTGATGAGGTGGTACATGTAGAAAAATCATTGAGGGAAATTGCGAGTCAAATGTCAGATGGTGGTGGTCAAGGATTTAAAAGGTGTTCATGTAAGGGGAAATGTGACACCAATCGATGTAAATGTAAAGCATCTAGCATTTTTTGCAATTCAAAATGTCACGGAAGCATGCCATGTAATAAAGGATAACACATTATGTATCATTAGTAAGTTAGGTTGTTAAAAATTAAAATTAAATTCATATTATTAATATTTTGTTTTTTATGGTTGTTATTTTAAATATAATTAACATTGTCAATAATTTAAATTATTGCATCTCATGTATGATACATTTTTATGGTTGTTAAGACATTATCCAAAAGTTCTTGGCTAATGTAATATTACAAGGTCAATGTTAACATTAGCCAATATTCATGGAGGCTTATGATGACAGTTGGCTAATGTCTCATTAGCCGGATAATGTCGACATTATCCAAATGTTAACATTACAAGTAACATATACACCCAAGTCGGATGAGTATAATATAGTCAGGGTTCGGAAAAAAACAGTTTTTTTCATTTTAAACAAAAAAACAGTTTTTTATTAATTTCCATTGTTTTTTTTGTTTTAAACAAAATTATTGTTTTGTTTTTTTCAATTGTTTTGAACATGTTTAAAACATGTTTTAAAACAAGAAAAAAATTGTTATAATTTACTTTGCAAGGACGATGGTAAATTGCACATAGAAGTATAGAACTCGAGTGGGTATAACGATCATAGGCGCACATTGGGGGTGAATTCGGGGGGTATTTGCTTATTGTTTAATATTTTGACGACAACTGAAACACTGAAACGTGCATTTATGCAATACTGTTTTAATCGCAAATTCGTGAACTGTTGTATATTTGTAATGGAAAAAAAAATCCGAGCCACAATAATTTATTAATGATTGGTGAAATACTGAAATAAATTTCATAGGGAACTGGGGGTGCTAGTTTAAACCTTGGGGGTGCTAAGCACCCCCAAGCACCCCCCTATGTGCGCCTATGACAACGATAGAACACAAATAATGTATGTTATTATGTTGCAATGTTTCTTTTCGAAGGTGGTCATTCAATCAATAGGTAGTAGCTACTATGTTATGGTTTTCATAATAGCAAAACAGTCAATAATGTGATTATTGATTTACTTAAAAATATATCCTATGAAATGTCATTTATAAATTTATTTCACTATTGGTATAGTATATGCCTATGCTTCTATAATAGTTCTATATAGTAATATACTAATATACTATAGGTGAATGCATTTTTAAAATTAATAAATAAATTGGACTGTTAAATTATCAATAGAACAAAAATAAATTTGAATTATAATTTAACATAATTAATATAATTAGTTAGTTATTACTTACTACAAAAATAATTTAAATAATAACATGTGGTACTTATTTTTTTTAAGTTTTAAAAGTATTATAAAAAAACATTTTGAAACATATAACGTAAAAAAACATGATTTAAACAATCTGTTTTAAACATTTTGTTTTAAACACACAATGTTTAATTTCAATTGTTTAAAACATGTTTAAAACAGATTGTTTTAAACAAAATGTTTAAAACGGCGAACCCTGAATATAGTACCTACTGTGTTATTACAATCACTCAAACATTATAATTGTGATAACAAAATATGTATTTTTCCTCCTCTAATCCATAGATTAATAAAATATGTACATAATTTTCTTCTGAAATACTATAACAATATGGAATAATGAGTTTTTATTCTGGTAGTATGTTTAGTTTTTGTGTGTTCAAATATATATTCGATATGGAAATGATGAATTGCAACTCAAAAATTGTAATATTTCAATATTGTTGGTTATACTTTGGTTCACCCAAAAATCATTGTGTGCAAACATTCTAGGTGTATTCCCGATTGAAGCCCTTAGCGACTAAGGGATTCCAAAAATGAAATTTTTACATTACATTTATAAAATCGTACTTAATATAATTTTTATATTTAAAAGCTTGTTTTGCGATTATAAATAAAAATAATTAAAAATAAATAAAATGTGTATATTTGTTATTAATTGTTAATTTGTGAAAAAAAGTCATTGAATAAGTTTAGGTCCGTGAGAAGTTTGTTAGGTTTCAAAACGGACCCCTGTAAAAATTAGTTATTGACCACTGCCATAATCCATAGTCATCAGATCAGACATTTACGTACGCACTGGACTACTGGAGAAATCTCCAGCGCCATATACATTTCAATTTGGTAATTTTTTGTGGGCAATTATTATTAGATAAAACTTCACCATAAAAACCATTTATAAAAAAAGAATATAATTCTAAAATATTTTGCAATTATTGTAAAAAAGATAATCATACAATAACTGTATGAAATTAAAATATAAAGAAGAACATAAAGATGAGATAAAACCGAAACCGTCAGGTTCGAAAGAAATAAAAACTGTGACAGAAATAACTAATGAAAATAAAATTATGATAACAATGCAAATAAATAATGAGCACGTAGAAGGTGAATCTGATAAATTTATAAATAAAACTACAAAGTTGCTGATTGACAGCAGAGCAGATATTAATTTAAAAAAAATAAGAGAATTAAAAGGGAATGTAGAAGTTGATCAAAGTAAAAAGACATTTTTGAAAGGAATAAATAATATACCAATTGTTACCATAGGTACAACGGAAATAGAAATAAAATTTGATGATCAACAATTTTCCGAAATATTTCTTGTAATTAAAGACGATTTCCCAATACCAGAAACAGGATTATTAGGAAAAACATTTCTAAAAGGTAATAAAGTAAAGATTGACCTAGAAGATGAACTTCTAATTATTCCAAATAAAAAATTAATTAATATACCCGAACGATCAGTATTGATAATCGATATTGAAACTCCCGTACATTTAGAAGGCAAAGTTCTATTGATAAAAAATAAAGAAATTAATGAAAATATTACATTAAGTAATAGTAGGTATAGGGATTGTAAAACAAAATAAAATAATTTCAAGCGTAGTAAATACATCAAATGAAAATATAAATTTAGAACAATTAAGATTAAAAGAAATCGACTGGGAATTATATGAGGAAAATAAAATTAATATTATAAGAGAAAAATCTAATAAAACAATTGACGATCGTATGTCATTACTTCACGAAAATTTGCAATTAGGACATTTGAACGAAGAAGAGAAGTTAAATATCCGTAATATATGTCAGGATTTTTCGGATATTTTCTATTTTCCTACGGACATGTTAACATTTACTGAAACAGAAACGCAGGAAATAATTACACCTAAACAATTAACGCCTATAAATATAAGACCATATAGATTACCTTTTGCGCATAAAGATGAAATTAATAATCAAATAAATGATATGTTAAAGAATAATATAATAAAACCAAGCAAATCACCTTGGAACTTTAAAATAATAGTGGTTCCGAAAAAGCTAGATAATACGGCAATACCTCAATTTAGAATATGCATAGATTATAAAAAGCTTAATGAGATTACAGTGGGCGATGCATACCCATTACCTCACATAAATACAATATTAGATCAATTATAGGCAAATCAAAGTACTTCCTCAACACTCGATTTAGGTAATGGTTATCATCAAATAAAAATCAATCCGTCAGATACGCATAAAACAGCATTTTCAACTCCAGAAGGTCACTTTGAGTTTTTACGATTAGGATTTGGATTGTCGTCAGCACCAGCTACATTTAGCAGGTTGATGAAAAAAGTTCTAATGGGGTTAGAGGGTACTCGTTGTTTTGCTTATTTAGACGATATAATTATTTATGCCGCAAGTTTGAGAGAACACGAAAATAAGCTAAGAAAAATATTCTCAAAGTTGAGGGAACACAATCTAAAATTATAACCTTTTAAGTACCAATTCTTACCGAAAGAAGTAATTTATTTAGGGCACATAATTACGGAAAATGATATTAAGCCGGATCCTGAAAAAACAGCCTGTGTAAAACAATTTCCAATACCACATAATACTACTACATTAAAAAGCTTTATAGGTTTAGCAAATTATTATCGGTGATTCATTCCAAATTTTGCCCAGATAGCGAAACCAATGACTTTACTATTGAAAAAAGATACGAAATTTATTTGGAACGACCAATGTGAGTTAGCGGTTAATACTTTGAATAAAAAATTATTAGCACAACCAATCTTGCAATATCCTGATTTCGCTAAAGAGTTTATATTATCAACTGACGCTTCTCAGTTCGCAATAGGTTCCGTACTTTCGCAAGGCACATTAGGATCTGATTTACCGATAGTCTATGCATCTAGAACAATTAAAAAGGCAGAAATAAATTATTCCACAATTGAAAAAGAATTGTTAGCAATAGTGTGGAGCGTTAAAAACTTCAGACCGTATCTTTATGGACAAAATTTTATTGTTGTTACTGATCACAGACCATTGACATGGCTATTTGGCATAAATGATCCAAGTTCAAGATTAATGAGATGGAGGCTAATGTTGTCTGAAATTGATTACACTGTTGTATACAGGGCAGGGTCAAACAATAACGCCGACGCTTTATCTAGGATTGAATATAGAAATGGTGGCAATAATATTGAAAGTATTTTAAAAATAAGTGATACGAGTTATGAGGATTATATAAAAGAACGTAATACGAAAATAATATTAAATATAAATAAAAATATAACATTAGTAAAGAATGTATAATAACAGCAACTATAACAGCATAATATTATTTTTTAATTATAGAAATTACGATAAACAAATTACCTATATAGTAAATAAATATAAACATTGGAATCTAATAAATGAAAATGAAACACGTATAGGAACATTGATAAAATTAATTGATAAAAGTTGCATGTTTTACAACAATTTGGATTTAACAAATGAAATGTCAGTTGAACAGCAGATATTTATAGCATTTAAAAACATCATACAACATTGTATAGATTTATCAATCACTGAATTAAGCGTGGATCTACTAAGTGTAGATAACCACATTTTTAAGAATAATATAAAGCACATGATAAAATATTTATTTAAAAATACGAGTATCAAAATAACATTATATACAGGGCAATTAAAACAAAATAGTCGTAAACTAAGTGACGAGGAAAAAGACAATATTATTAAAGAATTTCATGACACGGTTTTGGGAGGACACCAAGGTGTAACAAGA